TTTATTTTATTTTCATTTCTGTTTTTCCTTTTCTGTTTTTCTTCTTTTTCTTTTCCTTTTCCTTTTATGTTTTTCCTTTTTCTCTTTTGTCTTTTTTCCTTGTTTCTGTTTTTTAAAATTATAATTTATATTTTTTTTTTCTTCCTCCGCGGCCGGGGCCGGCGCGGAGGGTCGCCGGCGTCGGGCGAGGGGCCTCGCCGGCGTTGGGCGAGGGCGGCCCTCGCCTACAACCGGCGAGGCTCGACCTCGCCGGCGTCGGCGAGGCCAGCCCTCGCCCGGGATCGGGCGAGGCCGGCCTCGCCCGACGCCGACAAGGCTCGGCCTCGCCTGCAGGCGGCGAGGCTCGACCTCGCCGGCGTCGGGCGAGGCCGGCCGGCCTCGCCCAGCCCGGGCGAGGGCCGGCCTCGCCCGGCGCCGGCGAGGGCCGCCTCGCCTAGAGGCCGGCGACCTCCGCGCCGGCCCCGGCTATGGCCGGCCGGGGAAGAAAAAAAAAGAAAAGGAAAAGGAAAAAAAACAGAAAAAAATAGGAACCGGCCCTGAACCGTACGGTTCCGACCCGGAACCGGAACCGGAACCGCCAGAGGCGGTTACGATTCCGGTTCACGCTTGGCCACGAACCGGAACCGCCGGTTCCGAACCGGAACCGGTCGGTTCCGAACCGTGGCCACCTCTATTTTGAGGGCATGTCTGAGACCATGGTAGTAGGTTTACAAAATGGAATGGTAATGCATGCTTGTGCTCTAAAGAAAACAAATAATAATGATAAGCAATCATGTGTGGCAGTAACAACAGAGCTTATGGACATAGTATGGTGATTATTTGTTAGAAAGCACTAGAAATAGTATTGTTAGTGCTACTAAACTAACCTATTTTATGTTGGAATGAAATGCAGCTTGTTCAAAATTAGTCAGATGTGGTTCACCCTAATATTCACAATTTTTAAACATTTCGTAGGAGATACAGCGGCTACCAGAGGAAGGGATGGAGAACTATTTCAAAATATGAAATGCAAAACGATGATAAATATTGAATGGTATAAATATACCTGTATGAGTAGAATCATGTAAAGAGAAGATTGTGATAGTATCCTATGGAAGGAAAAGTTTATGTCAAGATTCCCTTATTTATCTGGAGAAAAGGCTAAAACCTATGTAGCACGGACACGTGCAGGAAGTTAACGTGTCGGTGTCTGACACGCAACATGTGTCCAACACGCTCCGACACACGGTCAACAGGTGTCGAAAATCCGACATGCGGTTAATGTGCCCGACATGCTGCCAACACGCACGGGGTCAATTTTATAAATATTCAAAAATTTAGGGGTCAAAATGTAAATTTATAAAAAAAAAGAAAAAAAAAAGAAAAGGGTGAAAGAAAACCCTAGTTTTTTGTTCTCATCTTCACAGTCCCTTCATTTGCTGCTGTACTCCCTCCCCCTCTCGATTCGCGATTTCTCTTCTTCATTCAAACCAACAATGTCGGCCGAGGAGGAGGCCTTGAAGAGGAACACTGATTGCGTCTATTTCCTCACCATTTCTCATCTTCTTCCTTTGCATCCTCCAAGCTCCAAACCCCCGAATCCCCACCCTCATACCCTAAACCCACCATCATCCTCCTCCATTTCATGGACCAAGAACCCCTCTAGCAGACGGCTCCTACTCCTCTCCCTCCCGGCGTGCGCCATTATTTTTTTGTTATTTATTTTTCTAAGACACGAAGTAAATTCTAGGCTTTTTATTATTATTTATTTATGGATTTAAATCAAATTTAAAAATAATAATTTATCATGTATATATAAAAATATATATTTAATATACAAAGTATCTCAACGTATCGAAATTCTCCATTTTTTGAGAATTGATGTGTCGCGTGTCATATTGTGTCGTGTCATGTGTCGAGTGTCGGTGTGGGTGCTACATAAGCTAAAACAAGAACCTAAAGGAGTTATTCCCTACAAGTTATTGAACTATGGAGACTTAATAGCGACAATAAATAATACAGGTTTAGAATTAAGTAATGAAGCAACACTAAGAGAACAAATGAAGAAACAGAAATTTGACAGGACGCAAGGAGATATGATGAAACTTTTGCCACTGCCATACATGATGGTTGCCGTCGAAGACACTCGGCCAGGACAAAAGAGAGGCGCTGGGAAAAACAGGGAGGCTCTCGGTTCTTGCACCCGGGTGATGATCCTCTTCAAGTTAATCCGCTTTCGATAGTTCTCTGCTCGTGGCTATTTCTACCTTGTCTTTGCTTTCATAATTTTGCGGGGTTTCGGTGAGTCCACTGACGCCAAACGCGAGAGTAGGATGCACAAGACCCCACCGATCCAATCGCTTCAGCATCACCGCACACGACCGCATTTGTGGGTGCCGTTCGCCGGATCGCCGGATCGCCCAGTATGGTGCTGACACTTCGCCGGGATCAATGTCATCGGTGTCAGTTCAGGTCGTGATCATCGCCAGGTCGTCCACCCATCACTACTGTCGCCGTAGTGTGCTCGAAGTTGCTACAGGTTTGCGTCACCGTCCCGTCGCTGAATTTCATGTACGCCTCGCTGTCACCACGAAGTCATCTTGGTCTTCTCTGATGCAAAGAAAGAGGTCACGGGTAACAAAGTAGATTTCATTATGATATTTATTAATTTTGTTTTTCTATTTCACGCTATATCTATTCGCGACCTCAATTTTATGGTTTGAGTCTCCATGGGAACATGAGAGAAGGAAAAGAAAAAACCACATTCGGTGGTGGTATAAAGAACAGAGAGAGGTTTTAAAAGGTGGAAAACACATAGAGATAGAAGAGGGAGGTAGCCAAAAAGGATGGGTTTTCGAGAGAGTAAGAGGAGGACGTGGTCTGCCGTGAATGCACTGTGTGCGTGAGCGTGCTTCTGAATTGTGTATGTAATTCTTGAGTCTTGCAAGTTTCAGTCACACATCACTTCCCATCAATTTCAATTTTTTTCCTTTCTCGTTGCATCATTTCTATAACGCTATACTCACTGAAACGCAGGACGAAGTCAACAACAACAACAACAACAACAACTAGAACAACAATGTTGCGCAACTTTTTTCGCAAACCATTCGAAAGTCTTGCGAATTGTCTAGTGAGCCCCGTGACTTTTCTTGGCCCAATTTTGGTGTCTCTGTGCCAGCTCTGCCCGTGGAACCACCTGAAATCAATGACGACAACACAGAAGGACCCACGATCGGGAGGGATTGGCAAGCCAAATGCCGGAAGGGAGTCGTGGTGAAAATGTTACGGACGACGGATGATACTCCTATCCCCGAAGAACCCCTAGAGTAGATATTCTAGCTCGAGATCGATGTCAATGGTACGAACACGTCATTTGAAATTTATGTAATGCTGACTTAGTAGGCGAATCACCAAGTGTTACGGGAACTTGAGGAGGCACTAGTGCAAATATGAGGAATGGATGGCCACTTCTAGGGGGAGAGCTCTACGACGACCATAATAAATTGGACCTGATTTGAGGGCCATGATGGCTTAATCTCAAATCAATCGTCACGAATTTCAAATCCTCGCAGTCCTAATGAACTTGAAGGAGAAATTCCGTAAACTTGAAGGTATGGCTCCATTTCTTAGGTTATTGGAATAAATGGAGAGTAGCATATTTATAAAGAGGAGAGTAGCTTTTATCCCCGTACTCGAACCGGTAAATTTAAGATTTACAATCCATAATTTGAGTTTTTATTAATAAAAAAATATTTAAAACTATTTCAATTTTCACTTGGATAAATGTCAATTTAAGGTATGTATTTGACCCCTGGTCAAATAATAAACTAATAAATCAGAACTCATGAATTCATCTCTATTTCGTTTTCTTCTAAAAATATCTCAATTTCAAATTAAGTGGATTTTGGGAAAAAGATATTGTCATTTTCGTTTCATTTTTAGTTATTTTTAAACAAATTGCTTCAAATGATATGTTGAATTTAAATTGAGTGAATATTAAGTGAAAATTATTCCAGTAATAAAGTAAGTTATTCTTCACATTACTTCAATATGATTTTTAATTAACTGGACAATCAATGTATTTATCCACGTAACTTCAGAATTATGAGTATTATTCATTTAATATGATATATCTCTCTTGGAATTAATTTCAAACTTAACAAGTTAATTATATATTTAAAGATACTTCATCTTTATTTTATTTTTCAAATTTACAGTCAACTAGATAATTAGAAAGAAGAGAAATATTTTGAAACGATAATCAAAATTTCTTTCAAATATTTATTTTTATCTTTATCTACTTTGTTGGTCGAATACACTTAAAATATTATACTTTCTTTTATCCATTCTTAAGTTTAAATTTAAATTTTATAAGTTCTAAATGTTTGAGGATAACAAATTACTAAACTGATGCAAAGTAGACGAATATGGGCCTTGTGGCGCAATTATGCCACCTGACTTTCCACGTGACAATGATAGAGGTAAAGTTAAGAGTGTGGCAAGTACATGAGCAAACATTCTCTCAGCTCCGGCTATCAATGTAAACAATAAATGTAGAAACATTGATACATATAATCACATATTACTCTTCACTATTTTTAAAAATTTCAACATTATTTAAATTTTTTGAGGATCAATTAGTATTTTTTTTTTTGCTTTAAAAGCCAAAATAAACAGGCCAAGTGTATATTACCAGATGTCTGGAGGTACTTATATTAGGAGCTTACTTTAGTGATTTTTTTTATTACACTTTCTTGGTGCAACACTCAAGCAGGTTACCGTTTCTATATTTTTGGGCCAAAGCCAAAACAAAGTACATTTATTTCTCATAATGCTGAAGGACAGTGATATTTTGCTTGAGACAACATAACCATCTTGGATTGCTTAGTCACTAGTCTCCTTATGCTTTTGCTTTTGCCAGATTCAAATTCTGTAAATGGCATAATTCCATATGCAATACAAGACAAGGCAATGACCATAAAGACCAAATGACTCCACATGATGTTCAGATTCGACATTAACTAGGCAATGGCAATGAACTCAAGAAGTTTCTTCCTGATTCCTTGGAGTTTAATCACTGCATCGCCGATGTCCATTCGTTCCCTTGGAGACTCAGAAGAGCAAATGACTCCGATTTCGATGATCAAAACCAAACACTCCTGAGTACTAAACCAGCTTTTGTTCTTGCCCTCCGGAGCGACGGTTCGTCTCTTCTCGGACTCTTCATTTTCTTGAAGCAGAACGGGATCGATTAGCTTTTCCACGCGGTCTGCCAGAGCTGCTGTTGCAAAGCAATGAAGGTCCAGCCCATTTGTAAACATGTCATCGGTTGGCCTCTTGCCTGTGAACATCTCCAAAACGAGGACTCCGAAGCTGTACACATCGCCTTCTGTGGATACCGCACTTCCCGCGCCGTACTCTAGAACAGTCAACAGCACATAGTGATGCATAGTGAATAATTGAGATTTAAATATTGTGTCGATGATGTTTCATGTGCCTTTTTGTTAAAGGATCGGTCTATTGTTGCGTGTTCTATATAAAGGAATAAATTTAAAGACCCAACTTATGCATCATTACCAGGAGCTACGTAGCCAAAAGATCCTTTTACTCCGATAGAGCTGGATTGATCGGCCAGTAACTTGTGCGTGGCTTCCGGGAGGAACCTGGCAAGTCCGAAATCGCTTACATGTCCAGTCATTTCATTGTCAAGAAGGATATTGCTTGGCTTTAGATCACTATGAACTATGGGCGTTTCACAATGATGATGGAGATAATCTAGTGCACAAGCAACATCGATGGTAATATTCACTCTCTCAAGTAGACTCAATTTGCGTCTCTCCGTATATTGCGATGCACTTGGGTGCAACCATTCATCCAAGCCTCCGTTCGACATGAATTCATAGACTAGTGCCTTGAAATCATTTCCTTTAAAATCAAACCCAGAACATGCAGTGAGTACCTTCACGAGATTACGGTGTCGGATTCTTCTCAAGGCCCCACACTCAACCATGAAGCTCTTGGCAGCTCCGTGACGTGTAAGGTCGAGAATCTTGATGGCCACGATCGATTGAGTCTGATCAAGAAGCCCTCTATACACAGACCCAAAACTGCCCATGCCGAGTAGATTGGTGGAGGAGAATCCACTTGTCGCTTTCAATAGACTATTATAAGAAACATGCAAAAGTCCATCTTCAGAAGAGCTTGAAGCTAATGCTTTCTTATTGTGTCTAAACCGGAAGAAGTATAACAAAGAGAGCATGCAGGATACTCCTATAAGAGCAGAGATTGTGGATATAAGAACTTTTGCAGTTCTGCTTATTCTCATCCGTTTTGACTCTACGTAATTGCATTTCGGTAGTTGAAAATTTGGCAGACCCCCGCATAGCTTCTTGTTTCCAACAACTGAAGTTGAAATAACACTTCTAAAAACTCCTCCTGTAGGCAATGCGCCCTCGAAATCGTTATATGATAGGCTCAAATTTGTCAGATTCAGTGACTCTAAAAATTCCGGGATTTGACCGGACAATTGGTTATTGGAAACATTCAAAACCTGAAGGCCTCTCATGGAACTCAAATTTGATGGTAGGGTTCCTTCAAAGAAATTATCCTGCAAATATAGGCGTTCCATGGATATACAACCACCAATACTGCTTGGAATTTGTTGAGATAATTTGTTCCCGTCAAGACGTAGTTCGTTAAGATTTTTCAAGTTTCCAACTTCTCTTGGAAGGGAACCAGTAAGACTATTTCGAGACAAGTCAAGATAAATCGACAAAGATGAGAGACCCACAATTCCCAGGGGTATGTAACCGCTGAGGTCGTTGGTCGAAATGTTTAAGAGAAGTAGATTCTCGCAATTTCCTAGAGACGATGGTATTGAGCCCCGGAGATTATTGCCATCCAAGAACAATTTGGTTAACATCTTTAAATTCCCGATAGATTCTGGTATCTGCCCCGAGAAATTATTTTGGCTGAGATCCATAAACTTCATTTTGTTAAGATTTCCAATCTCGGAAGGAATGTTTCCCGAGATATTGTTGCCCTCCAATCCCAAGATCTCCAAATTGATGAGATTTCCGATTCCGTGAGGTAATGTTTCAGAAATATGATTGTAACCTAATGCAAACACCGAAAGGGTGATAGAGAGGTTACCGATACAGGCAGGTACTGATCCTCCAAAAGCATTATTCTCTATACCCAATTTTTCCAAATTTGTGGAATTGGTTAAAGAGCAGAGGAAGTCCAAATCAGCATATTGCCCACCTCCTAAGTTGTTTTCGCCAATATTAAACCAATAGAGTCCTCTCATCTTTGCAAAAGAAGGAACTTTCCCTGCAAAGTTGCTTAACAAGAATTGGATTTCAACGAGATTAGAGGCATTGGATATTGACTCAGGAATGGGTCCAGTGAGGTGGTTGTCACTCAAATTGATTACCTCGAGATTCGGAAGAGTGAAGCCTAAGTCGCTGGGTAAGCTCCCCTCTAATTGGTTTTCCTCCATATTAAGGACTGTCAGAGTGGATATATTGAAGATTGAGATCGGAATTGCACCGATAAATTTATTGCAGCCGAGATCAAGGACCCTTAGATTTCTGAGCCGACCGAGAGTCTCTGGGATCGTACCACCGAGGTTATTTACTGTTGTTCCAAAGAGTTGAAGAGAGGATAAGTTTCCAAACGACGGCGGAATGTTTCCTATCAAGTTGTTGGCCATAAGTCCAATTTTTTGGAGCTTGGACAAGGAGCTGAGTTCCACAGGCAAATTTCCTTTGAGCTTGTTGAAGTCTAAGTTAAGATAGAGCAAATCAGAGCAATGGGAGAGATTAGAAGGGATTTGTCCACTGAACGAGTTGTTATTAAGGAATAACTTCTGCAACCGAAACAATCGACCGAATTGTGGGGGAATTTTGGAATGGAAACTGTTGTTCCCCAAATAGAGTTTTCTCAGAAAGCTCATATTACCAATATGGGGCCGCACAATCCCGTACAAATTCGCAGAGCTGAGATCCAATATGGTGACTCTTCGGTGTCTATGGCCACATGTAACACCGTACCACTCGCAAAAGTGGTTAGTGTCATTCCATGAGCTCAAAACCCCGCCAGGATCGGTCATGTGGGCCTTGAATTCCAGCAAAGCGAGTCGATCGGTCTCATTCCCGCCAGCTTCTATTAAAGCTAGAACACTCCCTAACAGAAGAATGATCATAATTAAGCATAAGACTGACCTGGATAAAACCCGATCTATATCGGGAAGGTCCATGAGGATTTGTAGCAAAGCGCTCTCAGCTCGAGTCTCTTTCGATTTTCATGTGATGTTGTTTCAATACAAATTCGCGAATATATAATAGCAGGCAACATATGATCTTCCAAACTATGACATGATGTCATCAACTGCAAGAATAGTCAGGATAGATCTTTCGTGGTCCACTCAAGTTGAGAAATTTTTAAGGCCGTGACAAGCAAGTTAATAATCGATGATCAAGTCAGTCAATGAAATGCGAAACACCACGGGGGCCTACTTTTGTTCATTGTCAATTGTGTCTTTCCAATCCCTAAATTTCTGGACCGTTTAGTAGAGGCATTGACATTAGCCTTTTCCACGTATATAAAATCTTGACTTTCTAACACTCAGAAGCGGAACAATATTAACCGTATGTCATGGCTTGACAGATTCTTGGCCACAGAATAGCCTGTGTAGTGCCTAATGAGCCGAAAACACCAGGCCAACCTTCCTTCTATAGTTGTTCCTAAAAACAGTATGGCGAATAGCATCCTCGTATTGGATTGTACCATACCCAATTTAGCTCGGGCATCCAGTCCTTTGAGCAAGACACACAAAACACTTCACCACAACAATTGGTTTTGGCCTGTCATAACCTCATCAGAAGAGTGGCATCAACTCCTATTAGTTTGTGCACGGGAAACTAACCCTACCTTCAGAGCTCCTCAAAGTTATAACCGTTCTATCGTAGAACTCCTAGCACAAATGCCCTGATACCACCTCTACGACCCAATTGTATCATCATTTCTATATCACTCACTATTCACCCCGATACCACAAAACTCCACTCATAAGGGTACGAGAGTATGAGAGAATTCGGTTCGTGACATTCTCCCCTACTCAATTTCGCAACGTTCTCGTTGTGTTGCAGGCTGCTCCGTCACTTTTCTGTGTTCCTTAACCATCAATTCTACTCCTTCGGGACTTACATGAATGGCAAGACTCGCCTAAAAAATAGGCCACCCAACTCCACTTGTAGCTTCCCTCACTTGTGCTCTCCGGACAAGTGTGGCATCCGAAGGCAACTGCACTTTCTTAGCAGCACCTTCTTTTGCCTACTAGGCCTCTCCTGATCTTAGCAAATCAATAGAGGTTTCTCCCCTTGTTAGAAAAGTGGTAGTAGACCTCCTCTTGAGATTCGTCAATTGATCCAGGAGCATTTTCCCTATTCAGTGAGCAATTCGGTGCCTTCCTACGCCCCTATTACCATCTTAGAAGCTAGATGAGAGCCGCACCTTGTCTGGGCCTTCTTAACCTCAACAATCACTCTCCGTCCTCATAAGACTGGGTAGACTACAAGCTTTCCTTGAATCACCCACCTACCAGAGGAATCCTACGACCCAACAAATTCTTGGTCGCAGAAAAGCCTGTGCGGCGCATGGTGAGCCGAGAACACTAGGCCAGCCATCCTTCTATAGTTGTTCCTAATAAAAGTACAGCGAATAGCATTCTTGTATCGGATTGTACCCTGCCCTCTTTAGCTCGGGCATGCAATTCCTTAAGCGAGATACAAAGAATACTTCGGCACAACAACCAGTTTCAGCCTACCATGGCCTCATCAGGAGAGCGGCATCATCTCTCCACCAGTTTGTGCACTGGAGGTCAACTCGCTTTCAGAGCTACTCAGAGTTATAACTGTTTTATCTTAGAACTCCTAACACAAACACCCTAATGCCGCTCATACAAATGAGTTGTATCATTACTTATGTATCGCTCAATCTTCTGTTGGATGGTATTGGACTTTTCTCACCCCAAAAGCTAGCTCAAAGGGTGATGTTTTCCCTCATACTTATAAACCGACCATCAGCCCCTTCCACAACCGATATGGGACAATCTCAACAATCTCCCCCTCACACATCGAGCCCTAGGTCGGAGCTGCGATAACCCGTATCTCTCCCGTGTGACTGTTGGGTCTAGACTTATTGGCAACTGGGCTCTGATACCAAGGTTGGTGGTCGGTTTATAAGCGTGAGGGAAAACCTCACTCTTGGAGCTAACTTTTGGGATGAGAAAGGCCCATACCACCCAACATCTTCATCGATACCACAAAGCTCCACTCACAAGGATACGAGAGTATGGGAAAATTCGATCTGCAACATGTACATGTAAGTAGATCTCTATCGCAATTTATAATCAAC